TTACAGATTTATTTGATTGTCGATTTCCATCGGCTTCGCAGTAAATATTAATCTAAACGGCGATATTATTGATATGATATATAAACTCATGCAGAAACAGATAAATAATCACAGGAATAGATTTAATTGTTCCCTACAATACGTAATAATTAATATAAACTCACAGCAACAAACAGTGACCATCTCACGAAAGACGAGAATTATGTAGAAGATGGTCTAAAAAGGGACCGAATCGTTCGAACATTAAATACAGAATAAATATTCTTTCGCATCGTGAACAGCGAATGGCTCTTAATTAGCCCGTTTTTCTTCTACATTTATGTTTGTAGGTACCTAATTGACATTAAGGTTCATGACGCAAATAATGAATTATGAAAATTAAGTTGTTAAAATTAAATTGTAACTAATCAATCACTCCTTGTAAACATTACACTTTGAATTTAAATACACATTAAGAAGGCTGTAAGGCTGAGATAAGAATGAGGAGGTAGCGTTTTCATACAAAAGAAATATGGAGTGCTGCCAATCTAAAATATTGATATTTAAAACAATATTAATCAAAAATTTTGAAAAAATATGGGATAGGGTTAAAGTGCAAAGAATATAAATTATTATATTTATGTAAAAGTTTCACATATAAATTTATATTTTTTAAAACAAATTTTATAGTTACTACAAGTGGATGACTTGTGGAAAGAAAAATCAAAGTAGTTAGGATTACCATCGATTGACAGAATAGATTTTTTATTCGGGTGCCAAGTTCAAGAAGCAGTCTAATGCATGAGAATGAGTATGCTATGAACACAAGTGACACAAAAGTGTTAGGTTACATTTTACGTTAGAATCTTTCCGCGAACAGCGTTGTCAAGTATCCTCCATCACACAGCTCGGATGACAGGAGTATTACATATTGACTTAAATTTTTTAGTATTGCAAATAAACTATGCGGTAAAATAACTTAAAATTTGAATATTTTCAATATGATATACTCTTCACATAAATTTATTTGTTTCTTAATATTTTAAATATATATTTTTGTTAAAAATAGATAATGGAGAATCGGATTTCTCTTAAAAGTCGATTATAAAAACATTGGACTTGGATATTAATCTACGCAAAAATGAATCGGTGAAAAAATCTGAAAAAATTCACATGTAATCATTATTTGTAAAGAAAATTATATTATAAATTTTATGTCATTTTTAACAGTTTGCATTATCCTTACAACCTCTTTATGGAAAATAAATGAAAATATAATTTAAATCATCGTACGTTCTATAATATTTATATATTTTCATAATCTTTAGAGATATTTTCGTGATATTTTTTTTTACAAAATATCTCGTAAGCTGATATTTACAGTCGGACCTTATATATATAAGATCGTGCGCGTGTGCGTCTTAAGTCTATCTTCAGATACTCCATAGCCGATGATATCTTATATATATATAATGTACATATATATTTCAAAAAAGGCGTGAAGAGAGAAAGTAAATTGATCAATTTAATTATTCCAACAAAATTTACGAAAAATGCACTGTCATTTTAATAAAAAATTACAACCCAGTTGTTTTGACTGCTTAATATTTTCTCTTAATGATGCAATTCTTATTGAACTTTGATACAATAAACTTTTAGAAGATTTAAGAAAATCAAATAAATTCTGCAAAATAGAACGCTTTTTCTCTCTCTATATTTATATTATTTTCCATTTCTATCAATATAAATTAACTTTAATCTCGGTAACTAACTTACTTAACTTTAACTTACTTTTTATTTTTTTTCTAATTCTTAGAACTGGAAAAGGATAAAAAGTAAGTTATCAAAATGTCCAGGCATTCCTGCCGGTCAGTGTACATACTTACTCTTTATGCTTTGTTTTTTGTCGTTAATTGTTTTCCTGCATCCTGCTGACGCGCGCATGCGTTACAAAAAACGTTGCACATAACACTTAAATAAGAACGAAAAGAAAAAAGGGAAATCGATCTGACTCAGCGTAAACGCGATTGCGTTTGCAAACCAACAGATATCTTGTTAATTTTTGGAAGGAAGAAATAAGTATTTGGTGAAATTTGCACTTGTTGCTCGTCTCGCTTTTCTATACAAGTTCCACACAGATTGATTAATCTTCAAGTCTGTGAAAACTTGTCAATCTGGATAAACTGCTTGGTTTTTTTTTTACTTATCCAAATAATATAACGCGAAATTAAATGTTATTCATTATTGTTACATTCATTGCATAATTTTATATTTTACTTCTTGAGCAAGAAATTGGATTTATAATTACATCCTCTTGTATATACCTTGAGAATATAAGTGCAAAAATCTGCAAAGAAAAACGCGTCAAAAAAAGAACATGTGCGAACCTTCATTTAACAACAAATTATGAGAATACAAACATCATCGTCATTGCATAATGATGCAGGTGCTGGTAGTTTCTTACTAGATTTCAGAATTTTCCACAGTATATCTCGGGAGATTATCTTTGGAATTGCTTTCGACACATTTTCAGCGATAATCTTCGATAATCCGCGTAAATAATTTTGAAATCTGCAATAGAGAAGATGTTTTTAAGATTGATGATATCGGAAAAAATCTAACTAATCGAGAAAATCTGTTGAGCCATGAAAAGAGAAGCTTTTCATGGCTGAACAAAGACATAGCACATTGTGTTTTACGTCATAAAGCTAGACATTCGGTGACACATTGTTTCATTAAAAATTGTTTTTAATTGTTTTGACACATTTAATTGTGTCAGTTTGTTTATCAAATTTTGTTAATTTTTGAATAATTACAATGTATTACAACATATATCTATAATACACATAATATGGTATAGAAAAGAGCAGAAAAGAAAAAAAACGAAATATGCAAATGTTTTTATGCTATGGATATTATGTTTGAATAAATAATTTAGAAATCTGCATTAAAATGTAGATATGTATCGAACCATACACACCATTTTGTAAAAAAATGTAAAATAATCGTATTCTATATTTGCATTTTGTGATTGCATTATATCAGATTGGAATAGCATAATAATTATTTCCTGGTAGTTATCTATATTATTAGCGTATTAATTCAATAATTCCTAGTAAAAAGTTGTAATATATATACGTAGTGTACACAATGCACATGATGTTGAAAAAAGGGACAATTTAAAAATATAAAGATATCTATTAAATTTATCTGTTTTAATATAAGCTTGTAAATTAATTCCTTCTAATTTTGAAATAATATTTTTTTGTAGTGCATTTTATCTACTATTTATATATGTGATATAAAACCAAAGGATTTACCTTATTACATAAGTGCATACTTTAATACTCATATATAAGTGAATTATTTAATTTATTTAAATTATTGTCAGGTAATATCCGAATCTGGCTGGTGAATAATGGAACAGAGAATGCAGTAGTTTCTTGAGGTTTTGTTATACTCTTGCTGCCATAATCCCATCACCTAATTTTTTGATATACATTAAAAGTTTAATGTATGTAATATAAAGCTTCTTTCCGCGCATTACACATTTTAACAATAGATTCTCCGGCTATTGTAATCTCTTTTTTCTCTTAGCGAAAATGTTAAGGAAAAGGGGTTACCTACTGCATACCTCCGATTTAAAAAATACAGCGCGAGAAAAGAACATGATAAATGATTTTTTATAGCAAGCCCATGTGGCAGGCGATTTGAGACAACTAGGTCAAAAATGAGATAATTAGTAAGATACGAAGAAGTGAGGAAACGAAGATAACATCACTCGTGAGAATCATTGAAATCGTAATACGATACCTCTTATCTATAGGTAGTATAATTTTTTATTTGCATTCCCCCTTCCATTTGCTTGCATCGGCTTGCATCGTTGTCATTGCATATGAATCATTGGCCACATATTAAATGCGAATAAAGTGGAGGGGAAGAGACAATATAGATATAGGAGGCATAACGTAACGTGGTCGCGCGAGTGACGGCGGAAGGGTAAAGATCAAACTGGCCCGAACTTCGTGCTCGTTTATATAGAAGGAAACGTCGCTCTAACGTATTCCATTAGCGACGTGCACATCATTTCATAAAGTGCACATTATTGTACGTCAGTGCCAAGTCAATCTTTCGTTCGCGCTTCTCATGTGACTGATTTACCACCAAGTTGGATCGACGGATCGCAGTTCGGCAAAATGATGATGGTCCCAGCAGGTGCGAAACTTAATATAACAACTTTATGTGCAGCGTCGGGAAAAAAGAAAATTCTTTTAAACAGCTCATATTTACTCCGTGCAGGTTTCGTTGCACGTATTACATTTCACTTTTGTGGCAGTAAAATGACAAGTACGACAAGTGGGGCTTATTTACATTGTGTTGTGTACCGCCATCAAATGATCTAGTGTGATAAAGTTTTATTTTATTATTACATTGCATAAGATATAATAATTATCATATTATTATATTATTTATGGAAGAGTTGCCTACATAAATGAATACTAATTACTTAACCCTTACATTTTTTTTATTACTGAATATAAACGAATTTAATAAAAATATGAAATAAATGAGCAATAAAAAATATAGATAAAAAATTCGAAATTACATTTTACTTTTGCGCGTGTTACTATTATACATTTTAAAAAGTCCGATACGATTGATGTAACTTTTTATCAATTATGTAGCTAATAATAATCTAACTACGCGGTTTTACTCTACGTTTCCATAAAAATAGGGATTTATTGTAGAACAATGTATATTCGTTTTACGTACATATTACAATCATTATAAAAATTAATATCTTTATAAAACTTATCATGCTTTGTGTTATCACAAATCGTAATAATATTATAAATCGCATAGTATAATATCATAAATCATATCACCACGTAGTTTCTTAAATCATATTAGTACGATTTGACAACATGCATATTTATATATCAATTT